CCATAATGATGTTTTATAAATTATCCAAATCGTAACTTGTCAGCAGTTTACGACAGCAAAATTTACTAGTAAAAACATGTGAAAAATCTTTTTTTTTTTCTTCGATTGTACGTATTTACTATGTGAATCTCAATGATTTGTAAAGGCTAATTTAAATTGATTGAAAAAAGATAGTAATAGTGACCATTTCAGTTTCGTTAGCTGTTCGATGAACGACAAAATGCACGTTACACGTATGATTTAAATTAGAAGCTTGCTATACATACTAACAAAACAATGCGCAAGCAACTCTAATTATGAGAAAATGTCTTTACACTAGATAGAGTTAGAAACCGTACGTCGTAATTTTTAATCTTGTAATAAGTTGTAATCGCTCGACTTTTTATCTGTCTTTTATTAACCTTTTTTATTGCGCAAAACGCAACGTTTTTAATATTAGTCTGCTGCTGAGATGACAAGAGAGAATATACGTTACCATAGTTTTGCGCGTTTAACATATCAAATATCTTAATTTATTGCTCTTTCACTCTTCGACTAAGGATTATTATTAGTTGCTGTTCATTGTTGAGCGGAAATGTCTATTGCCGATAGGTTAGCTTACAGATGGAATATGTGATAAATATGAAGCACCCTCATCGTTTCGTTCAAACGTAATGAAATTCTAGCATCATTGCGCTTGTTCTAACCCTAGAGCATTTAATTAAATATTTATAAGACGCAGGCTGCAAAATTTTTTATTTGACGCATTGACGTGATGTGTAAGCAAAACCACGTTTAGGTGACCGAGTGTACTGTCAATGCACCCAAAGCAACACAGCCAATTTATTTCGCTACTGCTTTAAACTATGTAACTTGTTATTATTTGATGAGCATCTTTTGTTCGATGAAAACAATACAGACGAAACCTGTTTAAACCGGCGGGCCTGGTTTGCTGATTTCTGGCCGGTTTAGCCAAAGACCAGTTCAGAAAATTGCTTAACTAGAGAAAGTTCCTAATTAATGGAAAATTGTGAGGCGGCTGGTTAAACCCGAAATTGGTTTAATCAGCGCCGCTTTAAACAGGTTTCACCCGTATAAATTTGTTTAATAGTGTATTTACTGTATCGTAACCTTTGTTCTATGTAACATGTAGCAGAGCTCAATTACTAAAATTTTCCTAGTAAAGACAATAGTACTAGTACTGAACAGTTAATGGTTAAAACTGCCATTATTTCCACCACTACGATTGTAAATTAAATATGTAATATGGTCAGACTTCTCCCACAGTCACCTATTTCATTCCTCCAGAAGTGATGTGACTGTATGGAGAATTCTTGCTATGTCATATGATTATGCTCTTTGACTATTTATTATTGTTTATTATCCAACTGCCACTGTTACTAAAGCAACAAACATGATTGCTTACTTATATTGTTTATTATTATTGCTCATACTAATGTGAACAACTCATAATAATATGTAAATGAATAAAGTAAAATAAAAAGCATATATTGACTTATTATATCAGTATTTGTGAGCATAGCAAGTTTAGTAAGTAAAGAATTGAGTTACAATGTATCAAATTCTACTTGTGCATGATCTGCACAAAATTTAAGTCATAGTCATGCAAAGTGACTGTAAAAGAGGTTAATTACTAACAAAAAACCTTTTAATCTCTCAATAAATTAAAATGTGATAGTAATTACAATTTGTAATGTGACTCTAAAGGTAAGGAGGGAATTTTACTATTGTAAATTCCATTCCACAAAAGTATGTAATTGTAAGGAAAGCCAAGAAATTAGCAGTAAATTTATTTTTTTGAATGGCTGCACCTCAACAGGCAAAGTGTGACAGTATACTAATAAATGGAAATATTGAGCAACAATATAAATACATATTAATATGACAATGTATCATAATCAGACCACTTTAGCACTGGGTATATATAGTAGAGATAAATTTGACCCAGAGCCTTTGCCAATGCCATTGCTGTATCTTCTATTTTATTCTTAAAGATGTTAAAGAAGGATTTGATTCCAAAGCCTTTGACAATGCTGTTGCTCCAGTATCTTCTATGTGATTATTTCTTAGATCTAGAGATGTTAAAGATGAATTTGATTCCAGAGTGTTTGCCAATGCTCTTGCTCCTGCATCTCCTATTTGATTCTTTTGAAGATCTAAAGATGTCAAAGAAGCATTTAATTCCAGAGCCTTTGCCAATGCTGTTGCTCCTGTACCTCCTATAAAATTCATTTGAAGATCTAGTACTAGAGATGTTAAAGAAGAATTTGATTCCAGAGCCTTTCCCAATGCTGTTGCTCCTGTATCTCCTATTTGATTCCAATGTAGATTTAGAGATATTAAAGAAGAATTTGATTCCAGAGCTTTTGCCAATGCTGTTGCTCCTGTATCTCCTATTTGATTATATTGAAGATCTAGAGATGTTAAAGAAGAATTTAATTCCAGAGCTTTTGCCAATGCTGTTGCTCCTGTACCTCCTATAAAATTCATTTGAAGATCTAGAGATGTTAAAGAAGAATTTGATTCCAGAGCCTTTGCTAATGCTGTTGCTCCTGTATCTCTTATTTGATTATATTGAAGATTTAGAGATGTTAAAGAAGAATTTGATTCCAGAGCCTTTTTCAAATTAGATTTTGCTTTGATATGTGTAATCTCATTATAAGCTGAATTTAAAGAAGATAATGAGAAATTTGATTCTAGAGCTTTTGCTAAAACTATTGCTCCTGTGCTTCCAATTTGACATCTACTCAGATCTAATGTATAAGTTGATGGTGGAGTGATCAACAATGTGGATATTGTATTTACTGTTTCACCTGATGGTGGAGTGATCAATGTAGATGATGTATTTACTGTTTCATTTGATGATGGAGTGATCAACAATTTGAGTAATGTATTTACTGTTTCACTTGATGGCCTTTTATTAGGGTCTTCATCCCAGCATTTGGAATATAGATCAATATATTGTTCAGAAGTTCCTGGAAATGGAGGATCACGAGAACCATTCAATCTGTATAGCAAAATTTCATAATTTGTGGTAACACCTTCACAGGGAATTTTTCCACTTGAAATCTCCCAAAGTATCACTCCAAAGCTGAATATATCTGATTGTTTCCCACGTCTGTAAGATTTATCTTTAAAAGATAATGGATCAATATATGCCATATTTCCTTCACTTTTTGATGCAGACATAATCTGTTTAAGAGTATTAGACAATCCAAAGTCTGTTATTTTGGCATTGCCTTCTTGGAGAAGAATGTTCATTGATGACTAATCCAACAGATATAACAGAAATTGTATGAGATGTGTAATAGCGATTTGAAGTAAAATTTCAATATATGTTTCACCATAAATCCCATCAATTAAAAAGCTGTACATACCAAGTCCTTGTGAACTATGTCAAGTTTATGCAAGTACAACAACCCATCACTAATCCCCAAGGCGAGCTTGTGCTTGTCCTCCCACGTCAGCGTAGGGAAATTTTTCTGTAGATGTTCGAACAAAGTTCCACCGTCTGCATATTCAAATACCATGTGATAGGGACCAGATAAATCTATTCAGATATATAGAGTTGGTAAGTTATAATCATTATGAACGGAAAACATAACGCTAAGTATAACTTATGCACCTTGACATATTCCCAAGAACCGAATAACGTTTGGATGATCGTCCACTTGTTTATGAGTTCTCAGCTATCATATTATAATTCAATTATACAACCTTCAAACGCTATACAACAACGACGACGATATGTAAGTAGTACCAACCTCTTTGACAAACTGCTTGTATAATTCATCTTCACATCCGTATCGATTTAGAAACAAAGTTTTCATAGCGACTAATTTTCCAGAATGCTTTATGCGGGCTTTGTATACGACACCATATCCACCATGACCAAGAAGTGTACGATCCAGGATGTCATCTTCCGAATAGTGTTTGATAAATCCTTCTTGGATACTCTTAACTAACCACTCCTTGTATGTGTTGTCAGACGACTGCATGTTTCGAACGTAGCCAAAAATGCCAATGACGTCAAGTATGTAAAATTGTTTTAAGATACGATGAAACAAACGTCCCAGCCATACAAATTGTGTTACGTAATACTGCCAGTCAAGTAGAGGAACAACAAAAATCTCTCCACCTCGTGTGGCACTATCGCTATAATAATAATAATAATAACTTCTTCATATAAGCTTTTATGAGATTAAAACAATGCGAAATGATCTACAAATAGTCACGTAAAAGCCGGTTCACCTTTTGTTTATTACATAATCACCAACTATACGTACATATGTCATATCTTATTAATGAACGCTTCTTTTTTTTTCATAAGGAAGCCTTATTTATGAGTGTTTGCGTATTTTATTCTAACTTGACAGTTCAAAAAAATACTCGTACGTTGTCATAATTCAACGTCAAAAAAGTTCGCCAAGACACTGCAGATCGCGCATAATGCTTAACATGTTTACAATCGTCAAATTATTATTATTATTATTATAACTTGTAGTTGAACTTGATAATTCAGTAACCATGTTACAACATGTTTCATTAGGTAAAATATCCATCTCTATCAAATCTTATTACGGCTTGAATCCTAATACGTACGTATTTTAGTTAAATATTGTTATGTTTTGCGAGAACTTTCTAAGTTTTGCATAGTGCTTTAGTTTGTGGTCTCAATTGGATTTTTTATAGTAATTTTAACGATCCAGCAAACCTTTACCGAAATTGAAAATTTCATTTTGGCTTGCTTTGACATTTTGAGTTTTGCCATTAACGATTTCATTATATTAGCTTGTGATGGAGGCGAAGTTATATTTGTATCTGGAACCTTTTTTGCTGTTAATTCTTCGATTAATTTCCTTACGATAGAAGATTTCTTTTTTACCAGTCTTTTGTCTTTTGACTGGAAATTTTTTGCCAGATATACAGCACCTTTCTCGGAAACGTTAGCATACTTGGATGGTAAAATGTAGAGTTTTCGTTAGGCATTTCATCCGCTTCTATTGTATAGTCGGAAATTCGAGATGCGAAAGCATTTCGTACGATCGCGAGAGCTCTGCTTCCTCCTCAGGAATCTCTTGAAATGATGGTGACTTGAGCTGATGTTGATTGGTCATCCTTCTAACTAGTGATAAAGTAGTCGACCGGGATAATCTTGTTCAACAGGTATAATGGTTGAACCGGAGACCCATTCAATCTCTTGGGACATTGTGAAAGGATTTTTCAAGACAATTGCGGTAAAATATATGGGAACAGGTGAGTACCATGAAGGATATTGTAACCTATGCGAAAAAGTTCTTGATTACATAATAACATGGATAAATATGCAAGCATGCGCATTACCAGTATCGCTTCGAAAATCATATGCGGCATCGCGAGTCAGTGCTTGTTTGTATAATTGTTCTTTGCCAAAATACGTTCTCCGCGAAGCGTGTATTGATAAAAAGTTTCGTAAAAGACGTGAATTGTTTATTTCAAAGGATGGTACGTAATGCTGACGAACAAAACACGTATATCCAAACTTGTCAATTGGTTTACGGAATACCACTAAATTGACTGATCGTAACTACCTCCTCGTTTTTGTTCACTGTTGAATTAATGATTCATCACTCGTCGCGATATCGTTGATAAGCAGGTGTTATGAACCTAAAATTTTGGTTCTTAAAAAATGTCAGAAATTTTCTTTAATCAAGCAGGCTTGGAATTGTTATTATCGCATTTTCAGGGTCTGCATTCTAGTCATGAAGTGGTTATCGCGTCTATCAAACTTTTAAATACTATAAGACGATGCGGTGAAGAAATCTTGTCTTACTAGCATAGGTCATTTGGGAAGGATTGGTTTGAATATGAAACAATGTTAGGTTGTGTAATGTTAGGTTGTGTAATGTTAGGTTGTGTGTGATTAACTCGATTCCGCGTTTTCGAAAAATTAAGCCAATTGTTATAACATCATAATATGAAGGTAATAACAAAGTTAGTCGCAAGCATGTTTCTTCACGTCTCTTTATGACCTTGTTCTCGCATGACACTGCAATGAGAAGATTACATGGTAATGTAACTATAATATATTACTGACAGCCAAGACAGTTGGTATTTGCGTAAACTCTTGGTAAGGAAAGCTTTAGTCACCCGCCAACATAATAGTCTCACATTTCGCATTTTTACCAACATACGTATATTTATGTCTTACTCATGGTTGCTGTAATAAACGAAGTGGTAATATTTAAAAGTTTTCACTATTCAAAGTTTTATTTTCGTTTGGCTAACTCTACAAACTGTAAATCTGTAAAAACGCTCTCAAAGGCGCTTTATCTGAGATTTTACTGCTTTAGATATCTTTCTGGGCTAAAATTCTCTTGCGTGGATTAGTTTGAAGGCGTTACACGGGTATTTGCTTGTTCGGCGACTAACATGTATCTGTGAACAGCTATTTATATTAGAACTTGTTAATGTGAGAATGACTCATTGCTATGATATTGCGCTTAATATTAAGGAATTCATTAACTTCAACTATTTCTGAACAAGTAGTGGGGAATGGCAAAGTCTTTTCAAATTCTAGCACGTTTTGCTTGATACTGAGAAAATAGTTATCATTATTCACTTTGTCAACTTTATTAATGACATAACTATTACTAAGACTAAAAAAAGTGCTTTCTACTTTCGCCTTTTCTTACTACAGAAAATTAATAATAGCATTGCTAGTTGATAGCGAAAAATGCATGAAAAAAAAAGTCTTTCGAACACAATGATGAAAATATGGTACTGATTATTTCCCCAATCCGAGATAAAAAAGTTAGTATCTTTCCCAAAGTTACTCCCACTTTGCATAAGATCCAACGGGCTGTGTTCGAGGATTAGTAATCAGGGAAGAAAGCATTTGGGATGAGGTTACGAACATTGTTGCGTACGGGGATAGTTCATTGACCGTCACAAAGTGGAAGACACAGCGTAAATCCTCATCTCTACGCTTATGATGAAGACCATCTGTCATGAATGCATCCATAACTGCGTAGTAAGCCGGCAGACCATGCCGATTATTCCATAGAGATGATAAGAATGGAGTCGGAATCTTTCGCATTGTAAATATGTTTCTCGTACTTTGCGACTTTTTGTTCGGAAGCATGCGGGAAAATGGTTTGTATAGCCTCACGCGTAGAAAGTCGACCCATTCAAAATAACGTGATAAAGATCAACTATAATAATGACACAGATAAAATCATAGTAATATTTACCCTTCAGACGCGTCGCTTGCTGTGAAAATCGTGTATTAGGACATTGTATACGTACATAATTTTTATCTTTCCATAACAATGCTGTGCCCAAATCCAATGGCTATGATCGAAGCCAAAAGGGTGACCTTGTTGTTGTGTTGACTGTAAATGTGAATCATGTTTGAAGTGCATTGTTATTTGAGCTAAAGGCCATAGGGAAAGCCCAAGAATATGGAAGTCAGGGGAGCTTGACAAAAAAAGTGACATAGTTATTACCACAAAAATCAGTTCCCGTGATGCTAAATTGAACAAGTTAACCTTCGAATCGGTCGGCAGGATGTTCACAACGCTCAGAGCGAAATCAATCAACGACATTCCCTTGTCCAGATTGTTAATAGGAGGATCTGACCAGCAAAGCGAGATTTCATCAAATTCCTCGGATTCGAGCCGACAATCATTTTCGGATATAACTTCAGTAATCTAAAACCAGTTTAAAATTATTTTTGATAGAATTATAGCAGAAAAGGCGTGTTCTTTAGATGATATGTGTCTACCGAAATTCTCGGTCTTGGAGTAGGAAAGATTAGTAAAGAGACTATAAAAATTTTTTATCATAATAATGACGGCGATTTCAGAGGTAGAACATTAAATAAAATAGATACTTGGATATACAGTCAGGCCTCGATAAGCCGGCCCCATAATTTATATTGTTTAGAGTACTCGATAATATAAATTATGCGGCCGGCTTATCGAGGTATCAAAACAAATAATAGTGAGTAGCGGGAAAGGAGCTGCCATTCTCGCTTTGCGAGCATTTATGCTTTATTCCTCCCTATTATATTAGCCAATGTCAAAAACATGCGAACATAATACATTAAGCAAATAACACTGTAATAATTCGAAGTGTAAATTTTTTCTGATGTGCACTCTATATTAGAAACGTCCAAACCAAAACGGACAGCTTCTATTAACATTGTGTGTCTTACTTACTAGCTGTCGAAACTTTGGAGTGCAAAGGGTGTCTCGTTTGAATGTTGCTTTTTTCGTTGATGATCCCGGATTACAAAGCTTCGGATAGAAATTTTCATAAGATTTGCGAAAAATATCTTGTACTCCTAAAGATAATTCTATATCATCTACAAAAGATGACATATCCTTTAAGGATGCTGGAACTGACATCTGACCAATATGAATCATAATATAAATTCCTTGGACAAGGTCCATGGTATAATAGTCAACTTTATAATCTATAAATGATCAAAAAGTGATTAAAAGAATAACACAATAATAAGAAAAAAAAAGAGCAAATAATTATATTAATTTCCTTACCAACGCACTGGAAGCCCAGCACTTTTATATCGGCACCTTTATCAATAGATGAGTCTAGAATATCCTTCATAAACACGCCCAGGCGAATAAGATCGTTGCAATTTTTATATACATCCCCTCTTTTTGATGGAGGGCTAACTTCGCCCACAAGTAAAGTGACACTAGTTTGTAATTGACAAATTACGGAAACTGTGAAATCTGGTTGTTTAGCGCGACCTTCAGCTTTTCTCGTCTTGCTTTCGTTTAAAGCTGTATTGGGCCATTGTACTATGTGTTTATCGGGATCATCAAAGAGTCCTTTCATAATGCGATCAAGGAAATTGGTATAGTGTGTGATTTCGCTGTGCTCATTCCTAATTTTTGAAGAGGGTAACGTTCTCAAGCAGTCCAGAATAATAAATCCTAAATTCTCTTTCAAAGATTGCTCACTTCCAAGTTTGTCGCATAACCAGCTAATAGCATCATCACGTGATCCACTTAATGCCATTTCAACTGCTTTTCGGAATGTTGTTTCAGAATTCGAATCTAGTATTAGTATTATTTGTTGCTCTGATTTAAATTTTTGATGAATTTCATCAAGCAAGGACAATCCGAAGTGATCAGTCATTGTATTGGAATAGGAATTCGAGGCAAGTAATAAAATTGATGATAACGATAATATTTCCTGTACATTTGATTCTACAAATAGGCCCTTGTCCCTTGCAATATTTAGTGACTGCTTCTGATAATTTCTAAAAATTAGAGACACATTAGTCTCTCCCATGTGTAAATCATCCACAGGATCTCCATTTTTGAAAGAAAATTCACATGGAACGTCATCAATTATGATATCCGTCTCCTCCTCAATGAATGGATTTTCCTCTTCCAATGGATGTATTAGTATTATTGGACTACCCGGGCAGGGAGTGGTATTTCCATCCAGCTGGTGATACTGCTTTCTTCTTTTTTTGACATCCTTTCCGTCATGAGCAAAGTCAGCCAATATTCCTGATGCTCCATTATGTTCTACTACCGTCTCTTTCAAGACATCAAGAGACCTCTTATTCTACATAAACATAATATTAGTATAGTGA